GCTATGACGACGAGACCACTACCACCGCCTCAGGTCTGTCACTGTGTTGTCACTGATATGGTATGACATGATGTCTAACTCGTGTCTGTCTGTCCATAGAGTGCGCGGATGACATGCGAGAGACGGGCAGTGCATCTAAACTGAGCCGATCGCTGGCCAACGCTATTGTATACAAATGTCACGCATGACTGACGCGATTGGCTTTAAAACTAATGGTCCCACCATTTGTCTCATCGATTTCTATATTCACGTATTATTCGGTGGGCTTTCAGTGATATATATTTTTCGTTTTTCTCTCAATTCAAACCTAAAATTAATTATTTGTCTAAATGTATAGGAGACTAATGAATAGTTATTCTGTCGTTATTTTCGTTTACGAAATGCTATGTTTTAAAATTAGTTATATATTTGTTCAATAGTTTGTCATTTCCGGCAATTTCTTAACTTTTAATTTCTCTCATTTTCACGTGTATTATTGATATAATGATATATAAATATAAATAATTGTAATTTAATTTCAAAATTAAAATTAATAAAAGATTTTATAATAACCCACGGCTATACACTCTATTAATAATTGCTAGGGGGCGGGGAGGGTACCACTACATTTACAGAATACTTGGGATTGTCATTTATTTTATTATTATAGGTTTTATGGGATCGACTTATTGCCACCGGTGCCCTCGAAAGTGAGAGCTGGTTATAAAATATAAAATATTAAATTTTAATTTATTTTTTAAAAAGATGTTTAAATATGTTATAATTAAAACAATTAATAATTTAATACTTTATTTATACGGTAATTTGAAATACATATAAATAGCCCTCTCAGGGCTACCAAATGTTATGAGCGATCTATTAATATGTGATTTAAATTATAATTAATAATAATTTAATACATAACAAACTTTCTCACTTTCGGGTGGCAACGGTGGCATATAAGTGAATCCCAGGTTTTGTAAATTGACTGCACTATAATAAGTTGTTTCAAACAAATTCAATTGAACCTAAAAATGAATGAAGTGAAAAGTGGTCACAGAGTTTTTAAATTACAATTATAACATTTGATATTAAAACATGATTATAATCAACGAAAGTTTTATTTGTTTAGCGGTAATAATTGCAATCAATAAATATTATTATAAAACTAATGAGAAATGTAGAGAAGGAGACGGAAACGCAAATATTTTATTCAATTATGTGCTTAAAGTGCTTATTTTGAAATATACTGTACCTACTGTATATTATAAAATATCATATTTAATTTTTACTGTATTTGTCCCGGATAAAACAATCCCATAAATACAGTAACTTTTGTGAATGTAAAAAATGAATGATACGGTAGCATTGAAAATAAAATGTCCATTGTCCATAGAGTTACCGTATCAGCGCGTACACTACAGTAGTACAGTATAGGTTTCGAACTACACTTACTTGTTATTTTAGTATTAGTCTTAGACTTATAACAGAATTTTATTAAATTCTTTTATCATATTAGCATTTACATGATTCTATTGCACATTCAGTACTCCTATTACTTTATACACCATTCATTTCAAATACAAATATAAACTAATAGAGACCAATTCTCCAAGATACTGTACTGTATTGACATTTTAAATTTCTTGTATTTTATATTACTAGAATTTTATTCTCAGATTATATTCTTAATATTATATGAGCTATAACAGTATATTCTAGTTACTTTTGTATATAATATTATCAATTTAATGAACTTGAATAATGATTTTCATGACAAATCTTAGTTCAGTAGAATATACTGAAACTTATAGAATCTGATAATGTATAAAAGTGACCTGGATTATTAAGCATTTCAATTCCGTGTTCCACCTCTTTGTACGAAATCATGATTTGCCACAACATATTATTGTGGATAATATGAAATTCTAACTATTATTCACAGTTATTCACAGTATGATGTATGATAGTCTATTGGAATGTGCCTAGCTCACCTGTCAACTGCCTCCCAGTGACTAATGTTGGATATATACATGTAGTGCATTAGTGAATGCCTGCAATGGTCTCCATATTAATGAATGAATGAATGATGTGATGAATGCATGTGTGAAGGGTTGATGGCATGACAGCAATGCATAGAGTGTGTGGTATTTGGTGTTTGGCGTCACTAGTGTTGTGAATGCATGCAAATGGTGTGCACTATATATGGCTTCAACACAGCTTTCCATTGATTATTGAATTCATTAATAATTTGATAACAAATTGTTTTTAATATTTGTTTACTTTATTTGAATTGATATTATTTTCTAAATTTTAGTATTTTAACAAATTTTATATATTTACCTCAATTTCTAGCATAGTATATATACATTAAAGTGATTTTATGTTTATTAGAGTTATATTTACACCAAATAAGTGTCAATCAAATAAATGTCTATTAATTGGTAAACCATATAACAGTTTGTATTCAATTAGAGTTCATTTCAAATGTATTTCTCTCATCTTAGGCTTAGATCCGATTGACTACAAGAAGTGAATACTCAATGAGCAGACAAAAGCCAACACTTCCGTTATATTGAGGCCAATCACTGCAATCGCCATCACATCCATCTCACGCTGAAGACTAGTCATGAATGCCATTCAACTCATTATTATCGAGACTTAAACTCATTTGAATTGACGGACAAAATGTCGGTTAAGGACTAAATGAGAGCCAAACACACGAATCGATACCTATTTTGACACAAAACTCGTTGATTAGCCCTTTATTACCATTTTGATGATCACATCATCTGTTGACCATTAAGTGGTTCATTGGTTTGAATGGCGTGTAAGTCAGTGACCCGTCTCATCCCAGCCACCTGTGCCTGGATTCTACTCTTGTCGACCACGACTGCATTCTTCTGGTTTCCGTATGTCTTGTGTGCCATCTCTCAGTGCAATCAAACCATTAACGCTAACTCTCACCCCATTAGCTGCCAATATCTCCAAAACACTTACCATTATTCGGTCACTATATGTCAGGGAATAATCACATTCTTCGTCATTTCCAACTTCTTTTTGGCAACTTTTATGGACCCCGGAGTCATCAAAAAAGGTCTGTCTGTCCATTCGTTCTATGTGTCCACCAGTTATACATCTTTTATGACTCATAACAGCCAATGCGGACGAAGACAAGGACGACGACTTCCGGGCGCCGCTCTATAAGAACGTGGAGATCAATGGCATAACAGTGCGGATGAAGTGGTGCGTGACGTGTCAGTTCTACAGACCTCCGCGGTGTTCGCATTGCAGTGTTTGCAACACTTGTATTGAAGTGAGTGCCGTCTCTGAAGATATGTTTGTGTCATTTGAGCGCAACTAATGTGTTGTACGATATGTGCAGACCTTTGACCACCACTGCCCGTGGGTTAACAACTGCATCGGTCGACGCAATTACAGGCATTTCTTCTTTTTCCTCATATTCCTCAGCATTCATATGGTCTCCATATTCTTCTGGTGTATTCTCTTTATATTGGATCACAAGGAAGTACTCCAACAAACCGACTCTATTGTTGCGTAAGAATTGCTCATTTCATTCATATCCTAAGCTATTGCCGATAAATAACTGTATTTTCCTTTTCATTCCAGTCTCATAATCTTAGCTATAATTGCATTACTATTTATACCAATCATTGGTTTGACGGTATTTCATATCATTTTGGTGGCCAGGGGTCGCACCACAAACGAACAGGTAATGTACTGGTAATGATGTATGTTGTTGGAAATGTGTTAACCGTGAACTCATATCGCAAACAATTAGGTGACGGGTAAGTTTCAGGGGGGATATAACCCATTCTCAAGAGGCTGTTGGGCCAACTGTTGTTACACTCTGTGCGGTCCGCGCTTTCCCAGGTATTGCCCATTGAATGGCATTTCTGTTTGANGCACATTCAGTACTCCTATTACTTTATACACCATTCATTTCAAATACAAATATAAACTAATAGAGACCAATTCTCCAAGATACTGTACTGTATTGACATTTTAAATTTCTTGTATTTTATATTACTAGAATTTTATTCTCAGATTATATTCTTAATATTATATGAGCTATAACAGTATATTCTAGTTACTTTTGTATATAATATTATCAATTTAATGAACTTGAATAATGATTTTCATGACAAATCTTAGTTCAGTAGAATATACTGAAACTTATAGAATCTGATAATGTATAAAAGTGACCTGGATTATTAAGCATTTCAATTCCGTGTTCCACCTCTTTGTACGAAATCATGATTTGCCACAACATATTATTGTGGATAATATGAAATTCTAACTATTATTCACAGTTATTCACAGTATGATGTATGATAGTCTATTGGAATGTGCCTAGCTCACCTGTCAACTGCCTCCCAGTGACTAATGTTGGATATATACATGTAGTGCATTAGTGAATGCCTGCAATGGTCTCCATATTAATGAATGAATGAATGATGTGATGAATGCATGTGTGAAGGGTTGATGGCATGACAGCAATGCGATGAGTGTGTGGTGTTTGGTGTTTGGCGTCACTAGTGTTGTGAATGCATGCAAATGGTGTGCACTATATATGGCTTCAACACAGTTTTCCATTGATTATTGAATTCATTAATAATTTGATAACAAATTGTTTTTAATATTTGTTTACTTTATTTGAATTGATATTATTTTCTAAATTTTAGTATTTTAACAAATTTTATATATTTACCTCAATTTCTAGCATAGTATATATACATTAAAGTGATTTTATGTTTATTAGAGTTATATTTACACCAAATAAGTGTCAATCAAATAAATGTCTATTAATTGGTAAACCATATAACAGTTTGTATTCAATTAGAGTTCATTTCAAATGTATTTCTCTCATCTTAGGCTTAGATCCGATTGACTACAAGAAGTGAATACTCAATGAGCAGACAAAAGCCAACACTTCCGTTATATTGAGGCCAATCACTGCAATCGCCATCACATCCATCTCACGCTGAAGACTAGTCATGAATGCCATTCAACTCATTATTATCGAGACTTAAACTCATTTGAATTGACGGACAAAATGTCGGTTAAGGACTAAATGAGAGCCAAACACACGAATCGATACCTATTTTGACACAAAACTCGTTGATTAGCCCTTTATTACCATTTTGATGATCACATCATCTGTTGACCATTAAGTGGTTCATTGGTTTGAATGGCGTGTAAGTCAGTGACCCGTCTCATCCCAGCCACCTGTGCCTGGATTCTACTCTTGTCGACCACGACTGCATTCTTCTGGTTTCCGTATGTCTTGTGTGCCATCTCTCAGTGCAATGAAACCATTAACGCTAACTCTCACCCCATTAGCTGCCAATATCTCCAAAACACTTACCATTTGTCGGTCACTATATGTCAGGGAATAATCACATTCTTCGTCATTTCCAACTTCTTTTTGGCAACTTTTATGGACCCCGGAGTCATCAAAAAAGGTCTGTCTGTCCACTCGCTCTATGTGTCCACCAGTTCTACATCTAAGCGCTCATAACAGCCAATGCGGACGAAGACAAGGACGACGACTTCCGGGCGCCGCTCTATAAGAACGTGGAGATCAATGGCATAACAGTGCGGATGAAGTGGTGCGTGACGTGTCAGTTCTACAGACCTCCGCGGTGTTCGCATTGCAGTGTTTGCAACACTTGTATTGAAGTGAGTGCCGTCTCTGAAGATATGTTTGTGTGATTTGAGCGCAACTAATGTGTTGTACGATATGTGCAGACCTTTGACCACCACTGCCCGTGGGTTAACAACTGCATCGGTCGACGCAATTACAGGCATTTCTTCTTTTTCCTCATATTCCTCAGCATTCATATGGTCTCCATATTCTTCTGGTGTATTCTCTTTATATTGGATCACAAGGAAGTACTCCAACAAACCGACTCTATTGTTGCGTAAGAATTGCTCATTTCATTCATATCCTAAGCTATTGCCGATAAATAACTTTATTTCGCTTTTCATTGCAGTCTCATAATCTTAGCTATAATTGCATTACTATTTATACCAATCATTGGTTTGACGGTATTTCATATCATTTTGGTGGCCAGGGGTCGCACCACAAACGAACAGGTAATGTACTGGTAATGATGTATGTTGTTGGAAATGTGTTAACCGTGAACTCATATCGCAAACAATTAGGTGACGGGTAAGTTTCAGGGGGGATATAACCCATTCTCAAGAGGCTGTTGGGCCAACTGTTGTTACACTCTGTGCGGTCCGCGCTTTCCCAGGTATTGCCCATTGGATGGCATTTCTGTTTGATATACCATAATGTTGTCAGAATTGTGATTAAAATAATAGTTTAATTGATAGTAAAAGTGTGGCTAAAAAGAAGAGCTCATTGTCTCATTTACATCATTACAATTCATTGAGTGCTTCTGCGGCAACAGGTGCTGACAATACAGTTAAGGTTTATATGGATAGCACTAATTCAATGTTTGTTCACAACTCAATGCGTCCAAACAACTCATCCCATTCTCAGAACTATAACCGAAAGACAAATAGTGCCGTAAGTTATCAGTAGTTCATAGAGATTATCATTGTATTCATTGTACTGTATATACGGTAATATGAAATATTGCTTTCAATTAGTGTCCAAACGATGGCATATCATTAGAAAGAATAGAATCTTCATCTCAGAGCCAATCGCGTGATTGCGAGCCCTCTCCGCCGGCGCACAGAAATCATATGAACTCATCAATGAGTCCTCAGTTTAAGCCATACCCTCATAATATGAGCGGACAAATGGCTTTTCATGATTTCAATAAACCACAGTTTAATAATTCGGACAATAATTTTTCGATAACTATGAGACGGAATGAAAAGTAAGTTTTGATTAATTGTGTAATAATTGGTTTTGGTTTTAATTGAATTTTATGACAAAGTGGTAAAAAAGAGACCACTTTTTCTGTTTCTGCAGACGATTCTTATAACGAGAAGCCGACTCACAATCAATACAACAGTCAAAGACCTTTCTCCCCGGTCAGCAGTACCTCAAACACTGATAGTTACATTCAAAGTCAAAACCGATCGATGACTCCAGGGGGAGGGCCGGGAGGAATGGTTATCTATTACTCACCCGACGCCGGATGTGTGTCAGAAGTGGCCAAATATAGTGAAACAGAACCAAGAAGTAAGCAGCAAATGGGTGCCAGTGATGACCACAGCTGCCAATCCACTAATACGAGCACTCACTTCATCAAAAGGCCGATGTCTTTCATTAAAGCCCTTGAAATGACTGACAAAATAGAGCGCAATGAACACAACAACCAACTCAGTCCACGACAACAACAACTCCAGAGACAGTCCACCAATAATGAGGACAATCGCCAGAGTCAGTACGAAATGAATTACGAGATCTCTGTCTGAATGCAACGATTATCGGCTCAAACAATGGCATCAACTGATGTCCCCTCACTTACACTATATTACAATCATGTAGTAATTACTATAATTAAATCCAAAGTGAGAACATCTCAATACTTGTCTCTCGTTGTCATTAATACTAACTTTTGTTATATTAATAATGATTTGCATTTCAATCAAATCGAATCCCTTTAAGTTTTTAACAATTATTGCATTAATAAATTGTAAATTAAAATTTTATTAAATATAATAAAGAGTTTTCAATAACTTAACAAAATACTGTATAAATAATATTTAGTAGGTAATAAATATTAAGAAATATGATTATTGAATGCATTTTCTAAATTAGGTTAAGACGTGCGGGGATTGATAATTGCCATAAAATACAGTGTACAACACAATACCTGTAATTAAATTAAAAATAATGCAAGCATTTTATTGGAAATGTTGAGCTATTTTGGAAAATTGAATTCAATAATAAATCATTACCGGTAACAATATTTACTGTATTGACACAAATGTCTACACAATGACTAAATGAATGCTTAAAAAGTGGATTTTTAGTGACACCAAAGAATTTCAATCATCGTTTGAAAATAATTGCTTTCGAAAAGTTCAATATATTTATGTAAACATAATCACAATAATAGCCAAAAGTTCAGATGATTACTTAAAATAATTTATAAATTTATCATAACTTTTTTGTACCAAAATTATTGATATTTGAATGACTTCACGTACTCGAGGCTAGTATACTATTAATAAGTTATGTAACCCATTGTTAACCTCTATTATTCATAAAATAGAGGCATTTATTACAGTAATTCATTTGTTTGTAATATTTGTCAGCATTTCAATTGGTTTTGATGAAAAATTCCACTTCTTTTCAAATAAGACTAGCGTTTAATGGCTTTTATAAAAGCAAGACATGAGTCCATTAAATGATATTATATATCATCGAAGAGACCCTTTTGTGGTCTTGCAGTGGAGTCGTAGTTCCAATTCGACGAATACCCGATGGGTTCCGCTTCGTTCATCAGCTCTTGGCGGTCATCCGAAGCGCTTCGAGAGGTTATGTGTTGAGTAGTAGTGGACAGCGGCTGCTGTTCCCCAATCGGTTTGCGAGGTCTTGGAGGTTGACTTGTATTGTGGTCCAAATGACGCAAAGCCTTGTTCTTCTCCCTCTTGACGAGTTCCTGACCCTCTCTGATGAGTTCAGCTGTCATTTCATCCGTGAGAATGAATTGTTCGAAACCCAAGTTATGCAACACTTTTGCCCCGAACTCGAAGAATGTGGACAAACACAGCAGACAAATGCAAAGCGGAAGATAAACGTTAAAAATATCGCCGATGAATGAAATCACATCCAAATGACCCATAATTTGAGTGAAAGCCGTCTCCCTTTTGCAGTGTACTCACTACACTCTCAGCTCAACTTACTCAGGATTTTTCAACTCTGTTTCTCCTCCGCGGTTTGCTGTGTTTTCGGAAGTTAACTTTGTTAAATATACGTTAATTAATATCTCATAACAAAGAAAGCAATAGGTGACCAGAGATTCTTGACTTACAGACCAGTCGAGAATTCGAATGTAAGGTGTCTTCTACTCTGACATAAGTAGCCAGACTACTACCCGACTGTCCATTATCATTAACTTTTAAGCCTAGAACTTATGTCATATTATTCGCCAGACACAGAGGTAGGCAATCGATATGATTGAAAATGACTGCAATTAAAACATGAATATATAGATTATTAAATGACAATGAGTATTGTAATTAAGACCAAATGACTATACAATACCTCAATAAGAAAATAACTGTAATTATTTCGCAATCCTTTCATAATTAATGCAAAAATGCTTAAAGGAATGGATTCGACAGAGAAAGTCATTTCAGACCAGACGACCATTAATGAGAAGACCGTCAATACATAACCCAATACTCGGTAGAAAGAGGAGCGAAACATACACTTCCAGTACCACTCAATCTTCGGGGTATATATCGATTCTCGTATTATATTCCCAAATGGAGATAAAGAACGGCGCGCTTCGATGGTAGGCCTATAGAGTCGGCTCAAACTCACTTCGTTTTTGGCCACATCTTCCCATTCAATGGACTGATTGATCATTAGATCCCATTGACAGTGAGTTCTGTGATTTGTTTGCATGGCTTGTATTATATTCTTATGCATTCGCGTCAACGACTTCTCATTGAAAGCATTTCCAGAATAACTCACAGAAAGACTACTATTTTGTGCCAAACGGGTCATCATTTGCTGTTTCCATTCTGGCGGACATTTATCGACAATAATGTCCAGATATGGTCGCATCGGGTCGTGATCTCCTGACAACGACTCCAGACACGTCTGGATCTCCTCTAAGACGTCGTCGAGCTTCTCATCAGATTCGCACTTTTCAGCGCTAAGTTTGGCTACTTTGAAGTAGAGGTAACTTAAAGTGCGGCCGTAATGACTACTATTGAAACAGGAACGGGGGATCTCCACCAATCCGTACCCCAACAGCACCACCAGTAGGAACAGTCCCCACGTGTTGGAAGCCGTTATACATATAATCTTAATTCCTTCCAAATTCAGTTGTGTTTTGATTGAAACATATATAATAAACACTATGAAAATGATGGCAAAAGAGCCGTAATATATAGCGTTATCTATTAAAGCGGCCTTTAATTTGCCGCCGACTGTGAACTCCCCGGCCATTGAGTACGACTGCATCAGCGGTAAGACAATCCAAGTGAGCACTTGTGCCGTCCAATAGACTATTCGCCACAGAGTTGGCAATACTTGGTTCGGAGCGTAACTCCAGGGCTCTTCGCACGGGTTGATCACCGGTAATGTTGTGGGGATTATAGGAAAGGGAGTTGTCGTCAAATTTGTCACATTCCCAATGTATTCAACTGTATGCGACTGTACAGCACTTCCACTTGTGGTGATGTTGTAGTCTTTCAAACACTGCAAATACGTTGTCTGAAGAATAAAACACATCATTAGATATGAGTTTAACCATCGAATTGACTTCTTAGTGAATAGTATATCTCAATGCCGTCATTATGGGATCAAATATACTATTCTTAAGAGGAATAAAGAGATAATTAAAAAGAAAAGTATATTTACTGTCGAGATATCCAACGGAAGAATAAATATAACGATGAATGAGAAGAACCAAGAGATGAAGACGGAGACAGTGGTGATGATGTTTTGGTCGACCCAATTGCCAAACCTGTTCAACAGGTAAGAGGACAACACAAATGTGATGATAATCTCGATGGTGAGCGGCCAGAACGCCATCGGTTCCAGTGATTCTTCAACTGATCGATACAAACGCTGACAATACTGTTAAGACATGGCAAGAGTGGATCAAATGAAAGCAACTGCTTATAAGAGTAACTGTCTCTCAAGACAATAGACACGTGAAGAGTGTATCAATTGGTTGGTGTCAAGTGAAGACACTGCGAGTATTGCATCAATTCATGCAAAATATGTTCAAAACTGAATCCAACGAGAAGTCAGTGAATGACAGCTCTGTTGACAACACAATGTCTCCACTCGACGCCACTGCACGTCATGTATGTGAGGGCCCGGCATAAGTGGTCACGTGTTTCCAGTTTATGCCTTCCTTTACGTGTCTCTCATTTTCAGGTATCACTCAATTGTTTCTCATTTCAATCATTTTCTCAATTATTTAATTGATTTACAATTAATTCAATTCGTATTTGACATCAATTTACTCACTATTTGATGGCTAATTGAATGTACAGTGGATTTGAGCCCAAACTCAGTCGATATGCCATAAAAGTGCAATCATATGAAAACGGCGTGACTTTCAATGCTTTCAATGCATTCAAAGTTTTCCCATTGAATTGAGTGCACGACTCGTGACTGCATTGATGTCTCATTGAATTAATTGTCATTTCATTGCTATTTCGGTGTTTCTTTTGATCCCTTTCCTTCATTTAATTGGTTTGATGTCATATTGCAGACCATGTACTCAGCAAACGCTAAGATCGTGAAGCCTTTGGGCGAAAAAGTCGATGAATTCGAGTCCTCTATATCTCAGGTCTGAATGAATGGTTGCCACTGAAGACTACCACTGAAGACGATGTGAATGATATTTGACGTCAATATTAACCCATGTTTTCAATTTAAGGCTTTACTCGACCTCGAGATGAATAGTGACCTGAAGTCACAGCTGCGGGAACTGCACATTACGGGCGCCAAAGAAGTGGATGTGTCGGGAAAGAAGGCAATCATTATCTTCGTTCCGGTGCCACAACTGAAGGCTTTCCAGAAACTGCAGACAAGAGTTGTGCGCGAATTGGAGAAGAAGTTTAGCGGAAGACATGTGGTGTTCATCGCTAAGCGAACTATTCTCCCGAAGCCGACCAGAAAATTGAAGTCTAAGAACAAGCAGAAGAGACCCCGAAGGTTGGCCACCAATACTCCACTCATTGTTGACTTTAACTCACGTTTGACTTGTCTTTCAGCCGAACTCTGACTGCAGTCCACGACTCAGTTCTCGAAGATCTAGTATTTCCGGCGGAAATCGTTGGCAAAAGGATTCGGATTCGTTTGGACGGCTCGCGACTCATAAAAATCCATTTGGATAAGACATCCCAAACCACGATTGAACACAAAACCGATACATTCGCCGCAGTCTATAAGCGATTGACCGGAAAGGAGGTCACCTTCGAGTTCCCGGAACCGCTATTTTAGAGATTATGTATTGAAACAATTCTTAAGCGAATAATAAACAATTGATAAAAAATATTGTTTTGAATTTTATTGATTAATCGTTTAGAAAAAAAATGGGAACAAAACGAAAGCTTTAGAAATTATTTTAATTTTTGAATCGATTTAAAGGCAAATAAATAGAGAAATCTTTGTTGAGAGCTAACAGTCGAGAAAGTTTGCGGCCATCAGTAACTCCAATGCAATCTCGGGTGCGATCGGGAACTCAGGGATTTCGGTCGAGCTGTTGGTGTATCGCACTTTGTATGTGAAGTATTGGCACACCTTTTGCAACACATGGGACGGGATCTCCCGGAAGTGGACTTCGTTTGTCTCGTTTTCGGCGAATTGACCTAAAGTTCAAGCATTCAATCGATAAGTTTGAAGACAATGACGGGTGAGGCCGTGTCAGTGATGATGACATACCGGGTCCCGAAAGCATAGCCTTAATGGTTCCGGAGGTCAACGCGTGCTCTCTCTTAATGATGAACTCGTGAGAGTCGGACGAAATGAGTTTGACATACATGGCATCCGGGCCCTCACAACCACCATAACCCCGATCATCATCGCGACACTCATTGCCGGAGTCAGACATTTGGCCACCGCTTGGATCTGTTCGCACGGTATCACCAAATAGAGGTGAGCTTCAGATTAATGGTGCATTGTTCACTACGTAAGTATGTTTGGTCCCTAGTGAACTAAACTACGCTGTTACCAAATCACCATTAACTCCATATCTAACTTTCCGTTTGTGTTATTGTTCGCGACTTACTGTTCAGTTTGGAGTTTCGGCATAACATTGACCACCACTGGCGCCACCACTCGTGCACTCACTGTCACTGCGACCACCGCTTGTGTCCATTCACTTTGGCCACCAAAACACCACAAACTATATGAATACGCTTCGCATCACTTGTTTTATTGCAAATGCAATACCAGTCAAGAGTGGCACTTATAATATGAGTCCTTTCATGGCATCACAATCTATATAACCGACTAAATTCAGTGCAATTAGGAGTTGCCTCGTTTGGTACAGTTTTGCATTCAATAACCTACAGATGGCACCACATACTACATTACCTTTGATTGCTTTCAACATTTTCTTTCCATTTGATTGGTCAATATTTGCTAAAACTTTATATAAGCGCCAAATATAAACACGATTCTGTGCTTCAGAATTAAGAATTTCATATTTTCCTATAATAAAGGGATCAGTTTAAGTTGAATCCATTTTTTGATTAAATCATACAATATTTATAAATTTGTCTACATTTTAGATAATTAAATGCTTAATATATTTGAGACAGTCCACTTCTTAAATTTTAGACCAGAATATCTTAATAACTGATTCACAATAAGTGTTTTATTTTAAAAGAAATATTAGAAGATTATGAAATAAGTTAATAATTACAGCTAATTGTGAAATCTATAGGTCGATAATTTTTAAAAATGTTTATTTTATAATTGCTAACTATGGTATTTGTATGAAACGTTTGTTCCCATGTTGTACAGTATTATTAGAAGTGGTGGTAATGTTGAATTCCTGTTATACCTGTATTTTGTAATTATATGTTAACTATGAATTAAATTGAATAGTTTATGGGT